AGTTTGCTCTTGGGGTGAAAGTAGGGCGAACCAAGAAATCGTTTTTTTGACTTATATTGGTCTTAAACGAATCGTTGCATCGTTTTGAAGCTGTTTGGGGTCTATGCTTGTATAATTTAATGCTTCAGGATTCGGGCTTTGAAGGCACAAGCTCAAGCCGCTGCCAATCCCAATCCGCAGCCGAAGCAAGCCGAGCAGAAGCGGGCTGAACAACCACCAGGAGGGAATCCATGTTATCTTCCATAATTTACCTAAGTGTGAATGTTGGAGATTTGCAGGATCCTATGTGGTTCAGACTGCGCTCGTCCACACTGACTTCCATGAAACCCAGCTCATGACTGAAGAGATGGTTGTACAAGCTGTTGCACAAGCCGCGTCTACAGTACCGGTGGAAACCATGCCCTCGCCCAAAACAACCCCAGAAGAGCGCCGTGCTCAATACCAAGGCAAGCCGATAGGCGGTTCAGCGACTTTGGCATTGGGCGCCCCTGCTGAAGCTTCAGCATTGGAGGACCCAAAGGCTTCCATGGTGCCTGTCGGCGAGGAGAAGAAGGACCCGCTTGAGTTTCCCATTCCGCATCCGTATATTGCATGATATTGCATGCGTGACAACACACGTCGTATACATGATGCAGATTTTGAGATTCAAACATGCATGGAATTCAAAATGGCACGACCATGCAGGACGATCCAGAGATGATGCATGACTCGCAGCTTGATGCGGGGGAGGCCTACGTGACGAGGGACCAGCAGCTGCAAAGCAAGAAAGCACGGAAACAGAACCGTGGGAAGGGTCAGGCCCGCAAGAAGAAGGGTGGCAAGAAGAAGGGTGGCAAGAAGAATAGAAAGGGGCAAGTGGGTCGTAAGAAGGTCCGCAGCCCAATCAAGAAACGACGACAAGTCTTGAAGTCTGCCAGCAGCGTTGCTGGGCATGATTGCGCTGATGATCATCCCCGGCGCAAGAGGCGCACTTCTGCCAAGGCAGCTGCGGAAGAGCAGCCAGCTGTTGTAGAGGCTTTGCATCCACCAGTGCCTGAGCCTAAGGAGAAGGCGAAGGCAAAGCCAAAGGGACGGGCAAAGGCAAAGGCTGCTGTCAAAAGCCCAAAGGCAAAGGCTGCTGTCAAAAGCCCAAAGGCAAAGGCTGCCCGTGAACCCAAGACCGCTGCCAAGAGGGGCAGGAAGCGGCAAACTGCTGCGGATGCCATCATGAACAACCCGGATCGCTCTTATGCTGTGGTGTCGGCCATGATGCACTTTGCTCAGAGGTTCCCAAAAGAGGGAGATATGGCTTTAGACGCTTTCAAGACGGCCGTGAGGGCTGAATTGCGAGAAATGGAGTGGTACCGTCCCAACATCTATTGGACCAGGAATGGGTGTGGAGTGACCCAGAAGAGGCCTTGTGCAGGGCAGAAGGCAAGTGACATCCACACCTTCAGCTTCAACACAGCAAAGGTACCATGCCGTGAGAAGCTCGCAATCGCCGTCTTCTGTGCAGAGGCCGCAGCCCCTCGTTCTGGAATGTGATATGCGTGACCATATATAAATATGCAGCGAGGAATATACCGAACCCTCAAAGAAGTTGCAAACATCTATGCATGTTTGATCATGTACCATGTAGGTTGACAGAGCACAAAAGGCCCACACCCTTTTTCAGATCGATCTCTAGATATATTAATATTGGCGATAGCACCCAGGCTTGGGGCCTGGAGAACACGTGGGAGGGCTACGAGAAGGGCGGCTTCGAGATTAGAAAGCTCAAAGCCAATGCTGCCATTGCGTTGCACATGCTTTCCACCGGCAACAACGACTTGGAGTGGCTCCGAAATGAGTGAGGGCTACCGCATTTTGTTTCATATCGGTATTGCCGGTATCATCGCACACTGTAGGCCAGTGTGTATCCAGGGGTCTTAGATATGTATGCAACATGCGTCTAGACTTGGCCAAAGGCATTATACCTGAAATGAGCTGTCCGCATGCCAGTGTGTTTTCATTCGTTATAAGAACCATGACTTGTGTCATCGGATGTGCCACCGCGCATGGACGCATACACCTTTTGAGCGCTAGCGCCGCAAACCTTTGCCGTTGAGATGGGAGTCCAAAACAAAAGAGCGTTTACAGAACCATCAGTACTTATGTATATAGTCAGTGGATGCATTTTGTGCAAAAGCGTTCCAAAGCCCATGGTTATTTTTTTCAATGGCAGCCTCTATAGCGTTCCCCCATGTTCAATCACAGTGGCACTGCGTGCCCACGCCTCTCTGGGCAGGTTTGATGGCATCACATGCCGCGGAACCTCAGCCGGAGACAGTTTCTGGTTCGTCGAAAGCTCAAGAAGAAACCTCGCAACTCCGGCATCATTTTATCTCGTTCATTTGACAAGTGGCAGTGAGGGGCCAAGAGTCCTATATATTCAGAATCTTTCCAAGTTTTGATGGACGCTTTGTCATGACTTGCTGAAAGCAAACCTGCCGGCCTCCTGTAGCCTTTTTTGCATCATTGTTCTTGGAGATAGGCCACAATGCCTGTTCCTGAAGGAAAAGACTTAGATGCCCTCATGTATAGGTTGCTTCGCATGAAGTGCCCGAAGGCAAGCGCTCCACATACAGAAGCTTACATACATATATACGCATGCCGTTGCAGGGCATTGTGATCTGGAATGTGTTTCAAAAAACCACCCATTCAAACATGCTACAGTGCCATCCGTCCAGGTGTTGGCCTCGATCATACTCTGCCTTCTCTGGACGACCACTGTGGACTTCAACGAGGCACCCACAGATCTTTGGGGATCTACGGGAGTCACAGAACCTGTATATTTTGCAAAGGTGGTTGGGTACCAGCAAGAAAACATATAAGTACGTTGCAAATTCAACTGATGAACTCCAACCCGATGTTGAATATAAAAGAGTTGAACCACTCAGTCCCCGAGCCAGGAGTATGAAATGTTGGAGTTCTTCGCCGGCGCCGGAAACCTCAGCCGATATATGAAGCTTTGTGGCAGGCGTACTGGGTCTCTAGACATCAAATACCAAACCAATCCTTCGAAGAAGAGTGCCTTCAAGAGCGACCCAATGGATATTCTGAGTCCTTCGGGATTTGCGTTCCCTGGGTGAAAGCAATCTCAGAACTGTTGTATATTCATGCGTTTATATATAAATATGTTTATATAATATCGATCGATGCCGTCGATGCTGGTATATCTTTAGACACGCTTCGAGCTTTTCCAAGTGTGTTCCATGACCAGCTGAACCACACAAATAAGGGTGGCACTGGCATGCTTATTCAAGTGCCGGCCTGACCGCTTCATGGCCATGTTTGCCTTGAAGTGCGCTTCATGGACTGCGATTAACTCTGGAACCTCCAATAGGGCTCCATGCGCGAGCATTGGCTTTGATGAGTACCCCAATGTTCTGGAGGCGAATGCCTTGTGCGAGCGGATGCTCAGAGTGAGTAAATAGTGGGCCACTCACCACCCCTATATATATATATAAGAGAGAGAGAGAGGGAGAGCAGGTTCCTTAATCCAGAATCCTTGTGCGCTGGCTGAGGACCATCTACCTTCTGGTGGTTGTGGTATGTCTTGGTGGAGTCTTTGGGTTAGAGCAACCACGGCTTTCCAACTTTGAGTTCTACCCCATGTTCCTGGAGTTTCGCGGGCTGTGCTATGAAGTCAATGGGGGGTCCTCAGCTGCCTTCACCTTAGCCATTCGAAAGAAACATCTTCAACAATTGGATCATTCTATATAGGCATTTGATGTTTTGTTGGTCGAGGTCTGGCGTGTGGGTTGGTGGATGGCTCATTATCAGAGCCTATCCCCAAAGCGTCACTATGCCTTCAGTAACAGCCAGGTCATCCAAAAGCTGGACCGCGGAAAGCTTTCGGGATGGAAGAAAAAGGGAAAGGAGAAGCTCCAAACAACTATTCAATATCAGTCGGCTGATGGAAAACGCTGCTTTAAGGGCACAGCAGCACTACGCAAAACAGAGACTCTTGATTCCCTGTTTCAATGTTTCAGCGTTTCTTGATTCCAATGGTACTTAATGTATGGTAGACTAGGTTGGATGTCACATTGCTTCAGAAGTACATAGACCATAGTGTGTTTCTAACTGTAGTGCGATCGCCCCCAAAAGCAATTGCCCCCAAAACAAAGAAAGCTATATGTGGGATGCAGTTGAGGGTTAAAGAGTTTGGGTACCACCTTTCTTTCACGCAAGCTTCAAAAGACGTTTCGTACTATTAGCATACACACCTGGCACGGGTTGGACACAACCTTCGGGGGTTGGTTCCCATTTTACTATGCGCGACTGCATGGATTCCGAGATATGAAAGCATGCCATATATGCGTGGACAAAACTCAAACCACCATGCACAACTGAAAGCCCGTGGTGAGCTAAGGGAATACACTGTCCAGTTCGGCCGCTGCTTAGCCGACTTGTATGATGAGATGGTCATCTCGCCGTGTGGCCAGCCCAAGCTCCCATGCCTTCTCCCGCCTGCTCAAGAGTCGTACCAGTTCATGGGCCAGGGCTTTGACCTGGGATACGCACGCCTGAATGAAGTATATAGTTATTTACGGAGAGGTCGGAATCTCAAGATTCCTCCTGGTTGGAGCCACCTGCTGCCCAAACCAGAGTGATCTACTGCTCGATATTTGTTTTGTTGGGCAACTTGTGGGGTAAGAGTGGAAAGGCATCATGTGGAAGATTGCCTGAGTTGTATGGGCATGTATCCACGTGGTGACTTCCGCACAGGTTGGAGGTTCTTGGTCCATGTTTTCTACACAAAAGTTGCTCCCTTAGGGCTCTTGGATGGAGAAAGTCAGGGACCCCGTAGAATACCCGTAGCAAACCGTAGAAAACCCGTGGATACCCGTAGTCGTGTTCCAAAACATCGTGTTTTTATAAAAACATCGTGTTTTCCAACCCGTAGTCAACCCGTAGAAAACCCGTAGAAACCCGTAAAAAATCTATGGGTTTTTTGCTTACCATGTTTGGACCTCCACAAGGGCATTTTGCCCTTGACCTGGTTAATCCATGGGTCTGTCGAATGTGACAGGCGCTATTTTGCAGGATCTGCGCCACTGCCTCGGAATGGGAAAAGGATATATATGTTGCTCACATATCATTGATCAAAACAATAAACAGTTGAACACCGTGCAACTTCATATCCATTCGATTCGCCGGCAGCATTTAGCTTGGGAACACGCTCAAACTGGTTTCTGGAAAACAGGTGCTGGTCATGTCGCAGGGCGCGTCGACAACTTCCCGGGTTTGGAGTTGTCAAACCCTGGCCGATGGGGTGGATAACATCGCGGCTCTGGCAAAGAAATACGAAGAAGAAGAGTATGAACTTGAACAACGGATTAAAGAACCTTAGCTGAGGTTTTCCTTGTATATAGAACGAAGCGTTCGATAACAAAAATAGTATACTAAGGAATTGGAGCAGAATGGGCAATCACATTGTGAACCAACCCGTGCGGCCACTCCGGAACAGGTGACTGTGTGGTTTAGTATACCAATCCGCTTTCTCCCCTTCCACTTCCCAGGCCCCGACAATCTTGGATCTTTCTTTGGAGCAGCCTGAGATCGTGGATATAGCTGATGCGGAGACGATTCCGGCGCGCACTGGGTTTATGTGTGCTTCTTTATTTATGCTTCTTTCATGGGCGCTTTTTGAAGGATCTTTTTCCCCAAACAGTTTACTGTTGGGGTTCTATCTTAGAAAGAAAAGAGCTGGCCACACTCACTGGCCGCGCCCCTGAACTCTGTGGCTGGGCTCCGTGGCTGGGCTCTGTGTCCGCCTCTTGTCCTCCTCTTGGCCGCGCCCCTGAACTCTGTCAACTCTGTGGCTGGGCTCTGTGGCTGGGCCTTGTCCCCCCTCTTGTCCTCCTAGTATACAGCAACTCTGTGGCTGGGCTCTGTGGCCCGGCTCTGTGTCCGGGTCTTGTCCTCCTCTTGTCCTTGTCTTGGCCGCGCCCCGGAACTCTGTGGCTGGGCTCTGTGGCCCGGCTCTGCGTCCGCACCTTTGCAAGAAGGACAAACAAACAACTATAGGGTCACTCAAAAAGTTTTGTGTTTTCAGTTTTCTGAGCTTAGTTTGCTATATCTCCATCCACCTCCCATATATATATATATA